TTTAGATATAGCTCCTATATATAGTTTCGTTCGATTTCATGTAAATGGTGCCCCAAAGCCCCTATATATCTTTCGATTTGCACGAAATTTGGCATAGCGTACAGAATTGAGCCTAGAATGATGTCTGCCAACTTTCGAGAAAATCGGTCTAGATTTAGATATAGCTCCCATATATAGTTTCGTCCGATTTCATGTAAATGGCGCACCAAAGTCCCTATATATCCTTCGATTTGCACGAAATTTGGCATAACGTACTTAATTGAGCCCAGAATGATGTCTGCCAAGTTTCATGAAAATCGGTCCAGATTTAGATATATCTCCCATATATAGTTTCGTTCGATTTCATGTAAATGGTGCCCCAAATTCCCTATATATCTTTTGATTTGCACGAAATTTGGTACAGCCTAGTCATTTAGGTCTAGAATGATGTCTGCCAAGTTTCGTGAAAATCGGTCCAGATTTAGATATAGCTCCCATATATAGGTTCGTCCGATTTCATGTAAATGGTGCCCCAAAGTCCCTATATATCTTTCGATTTGCACGAAATTTGGCATAACGTACTGAATTGAGTCTAGAATGATGTCTGCCATGTTTCGTGAAAATCGGTACAGATTTAGATATAGGTCCCATAAATAGTTCCTTCGATTTCATGTAAATGGTGCACCACATATATCTTGCGATTTGCACGAAATTTGGCATAACGTACTGAATTGAGTCTAGAATGATGCCTGCCAAGTGTCGTGAAATTCGGTACAGATTTAGATATAGGTCCCATATATAGTTCCTTCGATTTCATGTAAATGGTGCACCACATATATCTTGCGATTTGCACGAAATTTGGCATAACGTACTGAATTGAGTCTAGAATGATGCCTGCCAAGTGTCGTGAAAATAGGTCAAGATTTACATATAGCTCCGATATATAGTTTCGTCCGATTTCATGTAAATGGTGCACCAAAGTCCCTATATATCCTTCGATTTGCACGAAATTTGGCATAACGTACTTAATTGAGTCTAGAATGATGTCTGCTAAGTTTCATGAAAATCGGTCCTGATTTAGATATAGCTTCCACATATTTTTTCGTCCGATTTCATGTAAATGGTGCACCAAAGTCCCTATATATCTTTCGATTTGCACAAAATTTGGCATAGCGTACTGAATTGAACCTAGGGTGATGTCTGCGTTGTTTCGTGAAAATCTGTCCAGATTTAGATATAGCTCCCTTTTATTATAGTTTGATTTTAAGTAATTAACGCACCAAGGAACCAATAGGAACAAAACGTTCTGAAATTAGTAAAACCTAACCTGTGACAAGTTTGTTTGAAATCGCTTAATATTTGGTTAGAGCTTCCATATATATTTTCGCCCGATTTCAAGTAAATTGGACATCAAACTCCTCATGTTAGTCAGATTGACATCAAATTTTGCACATCGTACAAAATTGAGCATAGAATAACGTAGTTGCGTTTTCTAGAAGTACAGACATAGCCCAACGGATGACCTATTTATATTTGTTTGAAGTCGATGTACATACTTTATGGATAGATCTACGTAGATTCACATTACGATAAATATCGCATATTTTATTTTATCCAATTTCATGCTAATAGTCCTGTTTAATATACCCATAGTGGTGAAGGGTATCATATAGTCGGCCCCGTCCGACTTTATTATTTTCCTTACTGGTTTTTTTTCTCGTAGAGATGTTTGTTTCAAAGTTCGTTGTTTATGGCAAAGACAAAAGTTATTAAAATTAAATTTGCGCACATCTTAACAAGTAACCACATGATGGCAATTTAGCAATTTACTTTGTTAAGACCGAACTTATTTCACACACACGCACACACCAGTTAATCATATAAATTATTTTCTTTTCGTTGAACAAAACATCGGATTACAGAATAATCACAAATTACTCAGATATTTCACTGATACCCTTTAAGGGTACCTCGATACCTGTTGAACCACTTTGGGTACATACAAGAGATGTTAATATCTACAATATCCTATAGATAGAACAGACATAGAATCTTTGGAGGACCATTGAGATGGAATCGGACAAAATTAAATGTGCTATCTAGATAGATATTTGTTTCAATTGGAAAAACCTCATATATGTACCATTCTGAAAACACTGAAAAATGTCCTTGGTTTACCATTTGTATGAAATCGAGTAAAAAATATATATATATATATATATATATATGTATTTCTACAAAGCAACCATGTTGTCGGCATATTATATCCTTCGTTTCGCCTCAAGAGTTTGTTACGTCACGAATAATTGATCCGTGACCCACATTTTAGTATACCGATCGGTGTATCTCAACATATTGATACACAGATACGGGAGGATTCTACTGCAAGATAACTAATAAGTACTTAGGCAAGAATACAAAAGGATTTTATACTGTCAAGGATACGGAAGGATTCTACTGCAAGAGATATTAATAGGTACTTAGTAACCCCGATAACAATTTTCAACCGAATTCGCTGTAAATTTGTATTTTGTAACCGTTTATGGTAAAAAATCCCCCTACCAAAATTTATTAATATTCGCCCCCTTTTTAGGGGTGGTCCAAATATAACCCCATTTTTATAGACTTCGCCACACTGTGGTACTAGGTATTGTGTCTTTGTGCATATGTTTGTAACAGGCAAAATGAAACGAGATGCTGCAGCATACCAAATGGTATATGCCAAGGTTGCTCAATTAGGTCCAGATTTACTTATAGCTCCAGATACATTATTTTTCTCGATTTCATACAAAAAGAATCCAATTGACATACAATCTTTCATAGATTTGAGAATGATATGTGTATGGGTTTTTATACCCTTCACCACACTGTGGTACTGGGTATTATGTCTTTGTGCATATGTTTGTAACATGCAAAAGGAAACGTGATAGACACATGATTCCTTTTGAGAATATGCATAGAATCACTTTTTAAGTCGATTTATGCATGTCAGTCCTTCCGTCCGCCTGTCTGTCTGTCTGTCTGTCCATGTTAAATTGTAAACAAAGTGCAGGTCGCATTTATGATCCAAATTGGATGAAATTTGGCATAGACCACTTATTTGACCCAAGAACGAACACTATTGAAATTAGGAAAAATCGGTTCAGTTTTAGATATAGCTCCCATATATATTTTCGTCCGATTTAAGCTAATTTATGTACCGAAGTCCCTATATATCTTTCAATTTCCCGAAATTTGGCACAGCGTAATACATTAGGTTTAGAATGATGTGTTTTAAGTTTCCTGAAAATCGGACCAGATTTAGATATAGCGCCTATGTATATTTTCGCCCGATTTAATGTAAGTGGTACACCAAAGTCCCTATATACCTTTCGATCTGCACAAAATTTGGCACAGTGTACTGAAATATGTCTTAAATGATGTATGATAAATTTCCTGAAAATCGGTCAAGATTTAGATATAGCTCCCATATTTATTTTCGTCCGATTTTACACAACCTTGACACAAAATTTTGCATAACGATTTTAAATTAGTATAACCTAGAAATTAGATATAAATTCTGCACCGAATTCCCCAGGTGTGTCCGATTGGCACAAAATTTTGCACAACGTACGGAATATAATATAACATAAAGTGTGACAAGTTTTGTTGAAATCGATTCAGATTTAGATACAGCTCCCTTATATAGTTTCGTCCGATTTTAGTTAAATGGTACACCAAAGACCCAACATTAGGCCGATTGACACAAAATTTTGCACAACGTACTAAAGTTAATATAACCTAGCAGGTGGAAGTTGTTGTTGAAATCAGTTCAAATTTGGATAGAGCTACCATATATATTTTCTCCCGATTTTAAGTAAATGATGCATCAAGAACTCAAAGCTTGTGACATGTTTCGATGAAATCGGTTTAGATTTCGATATAGATTTTATATATATTTTCGTCTGATTTTAAGTAAATGGTACACCAAACTCCTCATATTTATCAGATATTTATTTAAATTAACAAAGGGTGTCCGATTGACATTTGCAGTATGACATTTTTATGGATCCAATTTCATTTCACTGGTCCTTCAAAAATACGACGTATGTTAGGATTCATCTGTTGAATATACCCAAAGTGGTGAAGGGTATCATATAGTCGGCCCCGTCCGACTTTACAACATTCCTTACTTGTTTTTTTTTTTTTTGGATTTTACAAACATGTACACAAAGGCATAGCACCCTGTTCCACAGTGTTGTGGAGGGTATACAAATATATGAATTTGTGTAAACAAAGTGTGCAATCTGTAAATGTAAATTCGCCTATTGATGGAAGGATATTTGTGCGAAATCGTACAAAACTTTGATAAATTGAAACTGATACTGTGAAATTGACAAATTGAAATTGACTGTATTAAAGAAAAACTCTCAGCAGAAAAATGTGTGAATGAAAATTTAACAAGCTTTGGTATTGATTTACCAGCCCATTGAAAATCTTGAAAATTTAAAGTCGGAAAGGGGGGGAGGGGGGTGTGTCCCTTAAATTGCAGTGTTTTGTATAGCAATTTAGAGAAATTAAATTTTGAAATTAATTTATTTTTATCGTCATCATAAAATGACAATATATACGAAATGAGAGATTTTAAAAATTTTATGTGGAGACCATGGTAAGTTGCTACCAGGTGAAAACTAAATACCAAACTCATGCACTCAATTTAGACAATTGGACAGAACTGACGAGTGAATAGAAATGAAATTGGACGAACTGAATTCCAGCGAAACTTTCCACACGTAAGTTTATACAAACTGAAGTAGGTTGTAGAAAATGTTGTTCCATTCGAAAACATTTTGGGTCTATGGTGAACCATTTACTTTAAATCAAGCGAAAATATAAATAGAAGCTATAACTAAATCTGGACCGATTTCAAAAACATACTTGCCAGAGAATAATACTTTTTCGCATAACATTGGGTCTTTGTGCATTATTTACTTATAATTTTAATATGGGATCTAAATTTGGACCAGCAAAGACAAACGCCATAATTTTTACACTTTTTTTTAAATTTTATTGAATGAAAGCAAAAATGTCGGAAATATCGTAAAATTTTAAAATATGTTTAGATTTGTTCCAATTGGTCACCTTTGGCGTGAATTATGGCCTTCAATGGCCAATGAAACCATCATACGCTGTCCGATTGTTGGTATTTTTTGTACCCACCTTGCTTTCCCAAATACTCCAGACCCAATAGTCCAACGGATTGGTATCAGGAGATGTTGGTGGCCATTGTGCGCTGGAAATGAAGCGAGGAACCTCATTTTGTAACCATTCATGGGTGGCGCGTCCGCCATCGCACTCAGGATGGTCCTGTTGGAATGTCCCAGGTCTACGGCCAAAATGTTTGCATACCCAAGGCTTTAATACACCCTCCAGAATATTTTCGCAATAATAATACGAGCGAAGAGCTACCATCGCCTGTTATGGCGGCCCACACCATCACCATGGCCGGCGCTTGAGTTTTGGTGGCCAACCGTGTTCCATCACGAATAACCTTTTTCTGGAAAATTACCAAAATGCTTTTGTACGCTTGTAAACAATATAATGAGCTGTCACTGGAAAAAAATTAACAGCTTTCGAACGAATGGCTTAGAAATGACAGCAGTCTGAAGTTGATTGCAGTTTTTATACCCTCCACCATAGTATAGGGTATATCAATTTTGTTTTTCCGTTTGTAACGCATCGAAATAATCATTTCCGACCCTATAAAGTATATATATTCTTGATCAGCGTAAAATTCCATGACGATCTAGCCATTTCCGTCTGTCCGTCTGTCTGTCTGTTGTAATCACTGTAGCGTCTAAACGAATTGAGTTAGATCGCCAAAATTTTGATCTGTCTGCAGGCAGATCAAGTTAGAAGATGGGCTTTATCGGTCCACGTTTACGCATAGCTCCCATATAAGGGTACCACCCATATTTTCGGTATTTTGGGGTTCTTGAGCGCGTTTTTCAACCGAATTCGCTAAAATTTAGTACATTGGGTTCTTATTGGGTACTCAATGTCTCCACAAAAAATTATAAATATATGTCCAATTTTTCTGGTAGCCCCCATATACCGGTGGAAATTCCTAGGGACTTTGTATAAATTGTAGAATGTCAGGAAAATTTCCAGTTAAAATTATTCAATATAAAACCAGTAAGGAAAATAATAAAGTCGGGCGGGGCCGACTATATGATACCCTTCACTACTTTGGGTATATTCAAGAGATGAATGCTAACAGACGTCGAATTCTGCAACCTAACTAAATTTGTCATTTGTTCAGATATAGGGTTGCTTCTTACAATGGGACAAAATGACCAAAACTCGGGAGAAAATATATGTAGAAGCTCTATCCAAATCTGAACCGATATCAAAACTTTCCACATTTCAAAACTTTAGTACGTTGTGCAAAATTTGTGTCAATTTTGTGTAAAATCGGACGAAAATATATATGTAGAAGCTATATCAAAATCTGAACCGATTTCAATGAGAATGGCAGAGATTAACTTATATTAACTACAGTTTATTGCACAAAATTGTGTGGCAATCGAACAAACTTTGGGTCTTTAGTGCACAAAAAACCTATATAGGAGCTATATATAAATCCAAACTGATTTTCACGAAACTTAACGTGCACTATTCTAGACTTAATTAAGTACGATGTGCCAAATTTCGGTCAAATCGAAAGGTATATAAGGACTTTGGTACACCACTTACCATAAATCGGACGAAAATATATATGGGAGCTATATCTAAATCTGAACCGATTTTTCCCAATTTCAGTAGGGTTCGTCCTTGGGCAAATTAAGTGACCTGTGCCAAATTTCATTCAAATCGGAACATAAATGCGACCTGTACTTTGTTAACAAAAATACCTGGACGGACGGGAAGACATACGGACAGACGGACATGCATAAATCTACTCAGAAAGTGATTCTATGCATATTCTCAAAAGGAACCATGGGTCTATCTCAATTATTTTTGCCTGTTACAAACATATGCACAAAGACATAATACCCTGTACCACAGTGTGGTGAAGGGTATAAAAATTTGAAAAGATAAATATGATATCAAACGCAATTTTAATCAAATTGGCAACAACAATTAAATATTATCACAAATCGTTTAGAACATTTTTTCATGCGGATGAAAATTAGTTGGTTGCCACATCTAGATAACCATTAATTCCACATTTTGTTCAGCCAAAATGACGATATTTTGAACCCATGTTTAGAGACTCGTATTTTTATAATCACCGATTAATATTTCCTCTTCTGAAGCCTTCGTCAGTCTGAAGATCTTCAATTTGTAGTGTACCACTTATAATTAATCTTCCAACGTTGCCCAATACGTCGCATATTTTTCAAGTCACTGTAAACAACACAACACATGGTCGTACGAGAAAAATTAAAAATGTATACTCTATGTTGTGAATACCTACTTAACCAATACCTGTCGTCTTTTCGAAGGAACATTGACATGAAATTGATCAAACTTAAAAATGCGATCTTTATCTTTATAAGTAAACCGACTAATATCAATCCTTACACATGCCATTCTGCAATCTATTCCATACTTTGTAAATATACTTTAAGCTAACTTTACGCACGCTATTTGGTATGGTGTGCAGGTCAACCAGTCTTTGGTTCTTTAGTGCACAATTTACATTAAATCGGTCGAAAAGATATATGGGAGCTATATCTAAATCTGAACCAATTTTCTCGAAACTTAGCACACATCATTCTGGACCCAATTCAGTACCCTATGCCAAATTTCGTGCAACTCGAAAGATATATAGGGACTTTGGAGACTCATTTACCTTAAATCGGAAGAAAATATACATGGGAGCTATATCTAAATCTGAACCGATAGGGTTCGTCCTTGGGCCAAATAAGTGGGCTGTGCCAAATTTCATCCAAATCGGATCATAAATGCGACCTGTACGATCATAAATGCGACCTTTGTTTACAATTTAACATCAACAGACGGACGGACGGACGGACGGACGGACGGACATGCCTAAATCGACTCAGAAAGTGATTATATCCATATTATCAAAAGGAACCATGGGTCTATCTCGATTCCTTTTGCCTGTTACAAACATATGCACAAAGACATAATACCCTGTACCACAGTGTGGTGAAGGGTATAAACATCACATGTTGGGAAATTTGCACTTTATGCTATTTCTATTGTCCAACTTTAAGTGCTTAAATGGAAATGCAAAGTTCGTACATCATACAGCTAATATTGAAGAAAAACAACACTACAAAGTGCATTTATAACGTTTCATGTCTATGATTTATTTTGGCAGCAAATAAACAAACAAATTCATTCATGCTTTTATACAATTTACGCGCCATTTTATTGAGTATGCGCAGTGTCTGCAGAATATACCACGTGCTACGACAACAATAATCATACTCATACATGTGTCAACGACAATAACTTGTTTTACAACATATCACATCTGAACCACAAATCCAAAGGACTTGTTGGATGTTAGATAAGGACGAATAAAAATACCAAACTCTTCAAAGTATCTAATAGTCTTCAATAGGACATCGGTCGAACAAAAGCGAGAATTTATACGCGTACCGGAAACATGTAAATCGGTTTAATAAATACCAGTGATTCGGTTAAGCAAAAACAACATTCATTACAACGTTCTAGGTAGACAGACAAGTGTGTTTATAAAGAAATTATGAAATCGCCAACAAGTGTTTTTTTTTTGTGAAGTGGATGGATAGAGGGAAATTGTAATTGTTAATAAGTATCGGAATAAAAATATCGCAAACGTAAATATTTGCAAAACCAGTCAGCCCCAGAGTCCTTGTGTAATTCAGAAAATGAGAGAAATGAAAAACTATTATGTTACAAAGCATAAGGTGCCTTTTTAACAAATCGGTATTTAATTCTTTATGTAAATGAAAGCAATTTAATGAAACTTTTATTATTCAGTATTAAATCGTCTTGATTATTTTAAAGCAACATAAAGAAGAAAAACAATTTAATGAAAAACAAGTGAATAAGCGTTAAGTTCGGCCGGGCCGAACTTTGGATACGCTCCACCATAGTTATACTGACAGATACATGCAATGAAAATATAGGGAACATACCAAAATGTTGGCATATACCGATAATTCTACAAACCGATTTATGTAAACCATTATGTACACCAAATACAAATTTCAGCAATTTTTAATGGGGATTTTTGCTAAAATCTGTAAGCTCCAAAAATTGGACTGGTACTGAAAACGCATGGTAGAGTATAAAATCCTCAAACTACTGTAATTTAGATTACAAAGTTATATGAGGGTATGCCTAAAGGGGGACCAATGTTGATTATATGGTGTAGAAAATATTGTATATTTGGGGATATTATTATATGAGGGCTATGCCTAATTAATGACCGGTATATGCCAATTTTTAACCCAATATTTTAATTGTTTATCTCAATTCTTTCCTTCAGAAGGTACCACAATATTGAGGAGATGCCTAAATGTCTGCCGATATATTTCATTATAGTCATGTTTGAGTTTTTATATCACAATATCTTTGGAAGGCGGAATGCTTACAACAGATGGCTAAATAGTCTTTGTAGGGCAAAAATAACGAATACCCAACCGCAACACACGGAACAAATTAGATAACTATTTTAAAAAGGGGTGAATATTAATAATTTTTGTTGCTGAGATTTGTTACCATATACGACTACAAAATGCCAAATTTCAGCGAATTCGGTTGAAAATGGCGCTCAAGAACCTCAAAATATCGAAAATTAGGGGTACCCTTATATGAGGGCTACCCGAAAAAAGTGACCTATATTTATAATTTTTTGTGGAGATATTTGCCACCCAATAAGAACTCAAATTACTAAATTACAGCCAATTCGGTGAAAAAATACGGTCAAAATCCCCCAAAAACTGGAAATTGGGAGGTATCCTTATATGGGGGCTACCAGAAAAAGTGAACCTATATTTATAATTTTTATTGGGGAAATTTGGTACCCAATAAGAACCCCATATACCACATTTCAGCGCATTCAATTGAAAATCGCACTCAAGAACCCTAAAATTGGGGGGTACCCTTATATGAGGACT